ACCTATATTTTAACCATTTTGAAATTCTGTTGCTGTGGCACTACCATGATCATATTATGCTGCATGTATTTTATTTGAATTATAAAATAAATTATTCTGTATTTCTGTAACTCACTGTTCTTCTATACCTGACATTTTTTGGGTGATGGCATGTAATCATTTGAAAATTTAAAATTTAGCTAGGCACTTGATTTAACCTAGCCTTTCTCTTTTTTTCCCAGCTAGTTTACCTCTCTGGGTGGGCGTGCTCCACTGCCTAGCATTTATTCATTTATCAAATAATGTTTTGAAAACCAACTGTATGCCAACATTCACTTAGTTGATTTAAATGCAATGATAGCATAATTTCTTTTCAGAGTATGTGGTCCAGTGGAGCAAACAGGTAAGTTAACACAGATAATTATGTTACTTTGTGCTAATTAAGTCCTGTGAAAGAAAGGAATATTGCATATATCCTGAAAGTACTTTAGGGACACATAACCCTCAGACTTTTGCCAGAGTTGGATTGTATAGGACTATCACAGAACATATTCCAGAGGAAATAATGTCTCAGCTTAAGGTCTGAGGTTGGAGTAAAGCAAGTACAGGGAATGGTTAATTGTTTCAGGGAGAGTATCAAGAGGAGGAGGTAGTGCGTTAATCAGGGAAAATAGTCATTCCTTTTAGATGAATTTGGAATTTAGAATTTGGGGGGTCAGGGGAGAAGATGTCATGGATTTCCAGTCAAGAAATGATCTAAAAGTGGAATAGAGACAACAAGTTGCAGAAGTAGTTTGGGCTGGAGCTTTTAAGGCATTATGATAGACTTATTGTTACTTGAGACGCTGAGATTGATTATTAGGTTTATTCACTCTAGCAGAACATAATGTAGAGAGAAGGATCTATTGGAAATTGATATAGCAAGTAAAGAAGCTAAAGTAATATCAGAGTTAATAATTCCTTGGGATTACCTATTTCACTGCTCCTTGTAATAGTATGAATAAGTAATAGTAGCTTCTACCAAATTTTTTACAATGAAATAATGGTAATCACTTAGATTTATATTTGATATCAACATGAGTAATCACTTGGTCATGCATAAACATTCAGCTAGTTAAGACTTACGACTAAAGACTAGACACTTTATGTCTAGTCCTACTATTAGAGCAGTAAGCAAAATCATAATATAGAAAGCACAGTAGGAAGGAGTCCCAGGATCTGCTGGTATAATTTGAGGAAAATTTCAACCAAGCTTACTCAAATAACCTATATGCAGATGATAGAGGTTTAGTTGTACCACTAATCACTTTTTTGGTCATTAAGCAGTTTTTAAAACTGTAATGTTAGAATTGTCTTTTTCTTAAACTGTTTATTTTGAAATCATCATAATCTCACAGAGGTTGCAAAAATAATATATGGGATCCAGTTAACCTTCACCTAGCTTCTCTTAAGAGTGAGATCTCATACAACTGTAGTATTTAAACCAGGAAATTTACATTGGTACACCATTGTTAACTAGACCAGGGGTCCCCAACTCCTAGGTCTCTGACTAGAAGGTCCACAGCTGGCAGCTTGTTAGGCCTGTTAGGAACTGGGCCATGAGCAAAGCTCACCTGAGCTCCTCCTCCTGTCTCCCCACCTCCCCATCCACAGTGACCTAAAGAGCAAAGCTCATCTGAGTACCCACTCCTGTGCACCAATCCCCAACCCCAGGTCTGCCTGTCCCTGGTGCCAAAATGGTTGGAGACTGCTGAACTAGACCACAAACCTTATTCAGTTTTTAGTAGTTTTTACTTACATTCATTTTTGTCTTTGTGATTTGACCCTGTGTATAGATTTATATGACTACTAACACAATAAAAATGCAGAATGGTCCCATCATTACAAAGAAAAGCCCTCATGCAACCCCTTTATAGACATATACCCACCCTTCAACCCTGTCCCTGTCTCCTAGTTGCTACAATTCTGTTCTTCATTTCTAAATGTTTTGTTTTAAGAATATGCTATAAATGCAATCATATACAATGTAAGTTTTTGAGATTGGCCCTTTTTTGTCTTACTAAGCATAATGCCCTTGAGTTATTGCATATATCAAGTTACTGTACTTTTTTTTGTCGGGGGCGGGGGGCGCTCAGTTATGTTCCTCTGTTGTGTGGATGTATCAGTTTCTTTAACCCCACTGGCTTTATTGTTTCCAGTTTCTTGGCTATTACAAGATAACTTCTTAGAAACATTTGTATTATAGGCTTTTGTTGGAACACAAGTTTTACTGTGTATGTTGCATGTCGACTGTGTATTTGTTTTTTGTTTTGTTTTTTTAAAGAAACTCCTAGAAATAATTCCCTGTTTGGTGAAAAGTTTATTTGTCTTAGTTTTCTAATTAAATTGTTTATGTTAAGTTTTGAAGGTTTTTTTAACATGTAAGTTCTTTGTCAAATATGTGGTTTGCAAATATTTTCTCTAAATCTGAAGCTTGTGTTTTCATTTATAAAATTAGAATTGCCTTTTAAATTACTACTTGTTATAGAGATTTGACTGTTACTTGGAGAGGTAAGATGTATTAAAATTAACCGTTTGACTAAGACTTAATTTACAGTAAAAATTTATGAAGGTTAGGAACTAAAGGAGTCCATATGTTTCTTTCATGGATGATCCCAAATGAAGAAAAATGCCTGCATTTAATGTCTTACCTAACTTACATTGATGCAAGGAGACAGTTAAGTACCTACCCTATAACCTCAGACATTTTACTTTTCTCTTCTGAGTAATATTTTCTGAATCCATGAAGTGGGGGTAAATGGTTTTTAATTCCAGTAATACTGTGAAATAGCTAATATAGCTCAAAATAAATAAGGCATATTGCAAAAGCTATCCCCCACTTTTTAAATATTTAGTCCTCCATATCATTTAGGAGACAGTTGTTCAAGGATTTGAACCCAGTCTTCTGTAATTTCAGGTGTCAACTTGTAGAACTTTTTTGAAGTAAAGAGTATTTTAAACCAGAGAATATTACTTCATGTTATTAAAAGGGTTTTTCCCCCACACCAACACTCATTTAAGGTAAAAAAAAATAATAATTAAAATAAAAGAATAAAATAGAAATTAATGTAAAGATTCTCAAGCAAACTGCCTTGTATAGACATAAAAGACTCCTAGAAGGTCTCCTAGGGCAGCTGAGAAAAATACTTTCCTCTTAAGAGAGAAAATTCTTAAGGGACAAGACATAATTGAGTACTCTTTTCTGGAGTTTCCAGTTCGGGAGCCTGGAGCTAGATGCCCTCTGGGGTTTTAGGCCGTGGCTACATGTCTCATACATTAAGGGGAAGACAAATTTGCTTGCTATCTATCTGTCAATGGCTTGTTCAGCTGCTAGCATTTCCAAAGAAAAAGAAAACTGCATTCCAAGGCTGGCGTCTAGCTGTCAGTATGTGAAATTAATAGATACAAATATAAAATACAGGGTTAGGCACCAATAACACCCCTTTTTATTACATAAACATCTTTTATTACAAAATCATAAGCATGTAATTCTGTAACATAACAATATTACACTCAATCGCACCATTTGACATTTTAGGTGAAAAGTTCAAATTGCTGTCCATCTCATGTGAGACATTCATGTACCATACCAGCCACACTTGTTGGCATTACTTCTGCCGGACCCTGTATGATATTGTCACTATGGCTGATCTTCCTTTACATTATTGAAATTTGTACCTTTTAAAACAGTTGTGTAAATAAGTAACAGTTATTTATAACCAATTATAACTTTAGGTTAAAATCCTGGTCATAGGACTCAAATGCTGTTGTGTTTTGGTCAAGTTAACTTTTTACGTCTTCTAATGTTAAAGAAGTATTGTAATAGTTACTTACTCCATAGGGTTATTTTGAGGATTAAATTATTTAATAAATGCAAAATGCTTGTAACAATTTATGTTATATAAGTAAATACTACTTAAACCATTATTACTTGACTAGTAAAGTACTCCAATAGAAAATCAGCACCAAGAAAATTAGATCTTTCAGCCACAGGTGTTTATCAGTGAGTATGTTACCCTGAAGGGGAATTTTAAGTTATTTTTTTATTAGTATATATATTTCTTTCATTTCAGTTATCATTGCCAACTTTGTTTTGGACATTGTGCTAAAAAAATATTTGGAATCTGGCCCTGGCTGGCATAGCTCAGTGGATTGAGCGTGGGCTGTGAACCAAAGTGTTACAGGTTCGATTCCCAGTCAGGGCACATGCCTGGGTTGCAGGCCACGGCTCCCTGCAACCACATATTGATGTTTCTCTCTCTCTATCTCCCTCCTTCTCCTCTCTAAAAATAAATAAATAAAATCTTTAAAAATTAAAAAAAAATATGTGGAATCTTTAAATATCTTCAGTATGGTAACTCTGGTAATTAAATAGACAATTTTGTTTAATGTAGCTTGATTATGGGTAAAGAGAAATATAGGTAGTTACGGATGTTTACAGAAGAGGCCTTTTATTTACCTACTGTAATGACTGTGATTGATCAAGAAAGCAAAGACTTTTGGCATGGGCTGATTCTGTGGAATGGATGTGAGGAGAAACATTCTGTATTAAGTAAGCACATAGTTTTTGTTTTATTTTGTTTTTTAAACGTAAGGAAAGGAGGGTGAATAGTAGATTGAAGAGAAAAGTAGTAGGAGTAGTTGTCTGTAAGAGCCATATATAAAGTGTGTCATGTAAGTGTCGAATAGCCTTTATTTAGACAAAGAGGAGCCACTGAGACTTTTTCCTTTCAGTTTTATGGAAAAATTTGACATGCATCACTGTATAAATTTAAGGCATACAACATGATGGTTTGATTACATATATTGTGAAATGATTACTACAGGAGGTTCAGCTGATAATTTAAAGTTTGAGAAATTTGCACATTTTTCATGTTTTAAAATGTGTGTTTAACTTGATTCTATAATGGTGAATTCTTAAATAATTTTCTTAAGGCAATAGTTTTGTATTCATGCTAAAAAAATTTTTTAAATTTTTTAAGGATTTCAGTTTGTTGAAATGAGCAGTCGTAAATCGAAGAGTAACAGTTTAATACATGCAGAGTACATTTCACAGGTTAGTATATATTTTCATTAATCTCAAGGTTTGTTACCATGCAAAGGTCCTCAGAGAAACAGTCATCTTTTTAAACCCTCATTAGAGTATATGTTTATTGACTTTAGAGAGAGAGGAGGTGGCAGGGGGAGAGAGAAAATGTGAGAAATATCTGTCAGTTGCCTCCAGTTCACTCTCTGACCTGGGGTCAAGCCCACAACCTTTTGGTGTTGGGAATGGCGTTTCAGCCAATTATGCCACTCAGCCAGTGCTATCTTCTTCCCTAGCACCATTCTAAGGGCAGAATGTCTTATGTTTCTTCTTAATTTCATTCTTTGTAACTCTTGGATAGTTGGAATCCTAACTTTACTTATGTCTTCCTAAGTGTTCTGATGGTACTTCTTTGGTTAAATTTATCCCTGTGTTTTTTAATCCTTTTGATGCTGTAATAAATGAAATTGTTTTATTTTTATTTGTTCATTGTATCTAATAAAGATACATTTGTTCATGTATCTTTATTTGCTAATGTATTTAAATGCAGTTGCTTTTTTTATATTGTATCGTACAACCTTGCTGAGCTCATTTATTAGTTTTAACAGTTTTTTAGTTTATTCCTCAGGATTTTCTATATGATTTTCTATATATAAGGTCAGGTAGAATAGTTTCATATCTTTCTTTTCAATCTGGGTGCTCTGGCTAGAACCTTTAGTGCTGTATTGAATTAAGATGGCAAGAGCAGACATTTTTGTTTTGTTTTTAATACTGGGGAAATCCATTCAGCCTTTAACCATGGAATATTATATTAGCTGTAGGTTTCTGTAGATGCTCTTAGTCACAATGAGGAGATTCCCTTATATTGCTAGAATGTTAAGTGTTTTTATAACAAACATTTAAAAATTTTAATTTATTGATTTTGAGAGAGAGACAGAGATTGATTTTTTTGTTCCACTTATTTATGCATTCATTGGTTGATTCTTATATGTGCCCTGACTAGGGATTGAACTGCAACCTTGGAGTATCAAGACAATGTTCTAACCAACTGAGCTACCTGGCCAGGGCTATCATGAACATTTAATACAACTACATACTATATTGCAAATGCTAAGCATATATCTATTATATCTCTGTTAAGGAGTCTAGTAGGTAATGGGCATAGTATTTCAGTCCTAGCTTTTCTATTTATTTGGCTCGATCAGAACTATTATGTTTAAATTTAAAGTAAATGGTGTTAGCATCCCTTTTTTAAGACCTTTCTTTATTTTTGATGGAAAATGTTTAACTCTCTTCCAAAAAAAATTTTTAACAAGTGTAATTTTCATATCCTCAAAGTGCACAAAGTTATGTATAGTTTCATTAATTTCTATACATGTATACACTTGTGTAACCTCTACCTTATAACTTTGGGATTTTTGCATCTCTGACTATTTACTGCAGCTTCACTTCACTTTATCTTGTTTTATATTTTATACGTAGTTGTTCCCTCTTTAATTGAATTTATTGACGGAAGAAAAGGATTGAGGTTTCTCTTTTGATTTCTAGCAATCTTATCTAGGTAGAGAAATAAACATTGTAATTAGTTGAGTCTCCATATGCCCATTTAAGTGTTTTTACAGGTTCCAGCTACTATTTATCTAATATCTATATTGTGTTAGAGATAGCTGCCTTGCTTAATCTGAAAAACAGGCCACTCAGAAAAATGTTAGTGTCTTCATTTTATATATTTTAATATTTAGAAAAAGCTAACTTTAAAATGCCTTTCTGGCACCAATCCTCTTTTTCTTTTCACTTCCTTTGTGATAATAACTATAGATTATTTTATCCCCAGTGAATAATTTGCTTTGCTTATATTGTAGTGCATGCAAAGAGAACTCACTTATCTCTTCTTTGGTATATGAAGAATCAGTCCTGTGCTCACAGTCTGGGAAAAATAATTTTGAAGCCTTCTTGTTTCTGTTCATTGGGCCTCCTAAGGTTTGTGTCCCTGGAGGACCTCTGCATTAGCAGTAGATGCTGGAAAGAAATGTCTTTAATGGTCCATCTTTTTAAAGAATGTGCTATATTTTCTGATGTAAATTTTACAACTATGTATAAGCCCTTCATTCTATGGTGACTTCAGATTTCAGTTATTTACAAGACTTTTTTTCATAATTTCAGTGATTTTTTTTATTTTATAGCCTAGATGAATGTGATATCTTTCATATAATTGAGCATTTCTTATATGCTGTTACTACTTTTTTGACAATTGTTTCTTAAATGTTCATTTCTGTCCAATATATTTGCTATGCTCTTTTTTTTTTTTTTTTTTAAGGCATGGATCATGCTGTTTTAGTAGCATGGTGCTCTGCGTCTAAGAGGTCCTCAATAACTATGTAGACTTTTAAACTTCTTTTATTTCCTCGGAATTTTAACCTCTATGGCAGGTACAGATTGGTAGAGTTTTAGCTAAGCTAATTTAGATGTGTCACTATCTAGAAATTGAGGTGTGGTGCATAAGCATTGTAATATTAGATTACATTATTAGATTGCCTCCTGTCTTTGTTCCTTGGCTGATATGTCATACAGTGAAGTATTCAATCATTCACATACATTAAAAATGCCCTCAAATTGCTGATGTAGCCACAGTAAGAAATTCTATCTCTTATTGAAACCTTCACAACTAAATTTTCATCTTTTCTCTGGAACTTAAAATAGGTAAAAAGAAATGATTTTATAACTCATGAAAATGGTGGCAGAACTTAAAGAAAAGTTATGTAGGGAGGGTTGAATTGATTCATTAATTCCTAATTCTGACTGCTATAAATATATATTCTAGTTCCTTTTTTATTGCATGGATTTTTATTTATAATTATCCTCTTTATTTTCATCAGGTACAAAGAATTTTACGTGAAAGATTTTGTCATCAGAGTTCACATAGCAACCTGTTTGGAGTACAAGTACAATATAAGTAAGTTTAGCTATTCCTTTGCTTGTTATGAACATACTTTATAGGTGCACTTTAGGTTTTGCAGAAATTATACACAAATTTTATCTTAAACAATGCTAATGAACTAAAAATTTGGCTTTGGTTATGGAAGCATTGAATATCATGACACAAGAGAGATATAAATTATTTTCATAATGAGAAAGCCTTTTAACTTTTAGTATTATATTGTTTCTATTATCTAGTATTATGTAGATAATTTTAATTTAAAATTTTAATCTTCTTGTACCTAATACTTGGCAGCCAGCTGTGGATTGAAAGGTCCTAAGAATTGTCACTGTTTCTTACAGTCTCATAAAGACATATATAATTCAAACTTATTTCCTCTTGAGGTTTCTAGAGAATCAGTATTAGCCAACATTCTCTCCTGTGTTGTGTGTGGGACAACTTAGAGCGTAAGGCAGGTGCCCAGAGGGGAGGAAGAAAGGAATGCCTGTCTTCTATGGATACTCAAATTTAGCTTTTAAAAAAGTAATACCCAGAAATTATTCCAGCTTTTTAAATTTTGGCCTATTTATGTCATTTTAGACACCTAATCGAGCTGCTGAAGAGAACTGCTTTCCATGGAGAAAGTAACTCTGTTCTCATTATTGGACCCCGTGGATCAGGAAAGACTATGGTAAAGCTGTTTATTTCTGGTATTTCTTTATTTTGATAGTCTTGTGATGATTCCTGTAGACAGCACTAAAATGTGTTTCATTACTTTTATTATTTTGTTATTAATATTTTGCTTTTTATCCTTAAATCATTGAAGACATGCAAAACCTTACAAAGTTAGGCTGATACATTTGAATTGAGCGTATCTTTTTTACCTTATTTTTCCCCACAGTAACAAACTTTTAATTGTTTGTTTTATCATGGTCTTTTGTCCTTGAAGAATTAGTGATTGCCAGTGGAAAATGAAAATTTGCATTTATTGAACATGTACCTTGTGCCTTTTATTTATCTTCTCTAATTTATTGTTTACTTACCCAATAAAGTAGGTATTGTCTTATAGATTGTTTATAAGATTATAAATTATAGATTATAAACTGGGCACCCTATTTATAGATTAGGAAACTATCACACTATGCATTCTTTTTTCTCTGATCATTTGTTGTGTGTTGTTTAACCCTAACTCAGTTTTTTCATATGTCTATTCACATCTACCAGATTTATCCTCTACGTTCCCTCATTATCATATTTACTTAGTTACCTCAAAAATACACTTTCTTTTTCCCCCATCTTCTCTTTTCACATTCTTTATTTAGTAATATATGAGACACATATATGAGACTTTCAACATGTCATATTGAAAGTATTACTGTGCTATTCTGTTTTAAATAGTTGGGCTGTGTAAAATCTGATTTCTGCTATATTCCATACAATAAATTTAGATTTCTTACTAACATACATTTTTATTCTGTAAAAGTAAAATTATAATTATGTATTAAGTAAAATTAGGTAAAGCAAGTAAAATTATGTTTTTATTTTTTGAGCAATGTGTGTTGACTGTGTTAAGATGAGGAAATTAAAACTTTAAGATTTTGCTGTTATCATCCATGTATTTCCAATATTGTTTGAAGTACATAAATTGGGAATATAGACCTATGTATGGAAGTACTTTCTTCTTAGATGCCTAGAAGGGGAGGTTAATCAGAAGTATTTGGTTAATGTCACTGAAGACCACCACAGCTAACTTGTTTTGAGTTCATATATGATTTTTCTGAATCTGGATGCTTGTAGAGTTTCTTCATCTTAGCAATGTGAAAATCTCACAGGTTATATAAATGTTGATCATAAAAAGTGATACTCTGCAAATCTTCGTAGTATGGAATTTACTTCTTTTTTTCAGTAAAGGATAATTTTTTACACCCCCCCCCCACACACATACACACATGCTTTACATTGCTGTATCTGGAAAACGCATCATCATGCTAGTGCTTGAAGAACATTTTTAGATAATACTTTAATTCTTCAAGAAGTTTCATAGTGATGCTATTGTATCAATAGTACAGAAGAAAAAGTTACAGGAAATCAGCACATTAGATCTATTAAACTGTGCATCTTGAAATAAAATGACATTACAACAGGAAAGTTGAATCTCAGTAATTTGAACCTCAAAGTGTCAAGCCCATGAGTATAACTTGAGTAGCTGACTGAATTTATTTTGAACTTTACCTTGGAAGTTTCTCACTAAAGATATGGAAAAATTTCAGGAAAAAAACAAAATAGATCCGGTAAAGAAAACTTACAACAATGAGTAACTAAATAAAAATTATAATCATACTCCATTTCATTAGAAAATTGGCTAAAACAGATTTTTTTACAAAAAAAAATAAAGTGGACAGTACAGAGTTACTATATTGACCCCCCCCTCCCGCCCAGGCACACACATTTTCCCCTATTATTAGCACCTTGCCTTAGCATAGTATGTTACATCAATGAATTGCTATTGATACATTGTCATTACATTAAGGCTCACTCTTTGTGTTATACAATTTTATGGTTGTTAAAACCCATGACATACATAATGTCATATATCCACCATTTCAGTGTCACACAAAGTTCAACATTCAAAAAAGTCCCCTGTGGTTTTAACCTGTGCTCCCACCCCAACCCCTGGCAACCACTGATTTGTTTTTCACTGTCTCCATACTTTTGCCTTTTTCAGAATGTCATATAGTTGGAATCATACAGTATGTAGCCTTTTCATATTGTCTTCTTCCATTTAGCAGTACACATTTAAAGTTCCTCCATGTCATTTCATGGCTTGACAGGTCATTTTTTTTAAATTGCTGAATAACATTGCATTGTATGAGTGTACTACTGTATCTATTCACCTATTGAAGGACATCTTGATTGTTTCTGATTTTGGAAAATTTGAATAAAACTACTCAAAACACTTGCATGCAAGATTTTATGTGGATGTAAGTCTTCAGTTTAACTGAGTAAATACATAGGAGTGCCAGTTGTTATATCATATAGTAATACTGTGTTTTTAGCTGTGTAAGAACTTGCCAAATTGTCTGAAAAACTGGTTATACCATTTTGCTTCTTACCAGCATTGAATGAGAGTTTCTATCACTGTGTATCATCACCAACATTTGACATTGTCATTTTTTAAATTTTAGCCATTCTTGTAGTGGTACCTCATTGCTTTTCCATTAATTAATTTTTATTGTATTTTTTCTATTATAATTTATCCCCCAAATACCCTCCTCTCTCCTGAAATCACCACTTTGTTGTGCATGGCTATGAGTCCTTTTTCCTCAAAAACTTCATCCTCTAAGTCCTCCACCCCCTCTAATAGCTGTCATCCTACTCTATCTGTGAGACTACCTCTGTTTTGCTTGTTAGTTCAGATTGTTCATTAGATTACACATATGAGTGAAAGCATATGATACTTGTTTTTCTCGGACTGGCTTATTTCACCTAGCATGATAATCACCAGGTCCATCCATGCTGTCACAAAGTTCCTTTTTATGGTCAAGTAAAATTCCATTGTATAAATGTCCCATAGTTGTTTTATCTACTCATCTACTCATGGACTCTTGAGCTGCTTCCATATGTTGGTGATTGTAAATAACACTGCAATGAATATAGCAGTGCTTATGTTCTTTCAAATTAGTGCTTTGGTTTCCTTCAGATATATTCCAAGAAGTGGGATTGCTGGGTCAAAAGGCACATCCATTTTTTAATTTTTTTGAGGTATCTCTATACTGCTTTCCACGGTGGGTGCACCACTCTGCATTCAAACCAGCAGTGCAGAAGGGTTCCTCTTTTGCCACATCCTCGCTGGGACTTGTTGATTTATTAATGATAGCCATTCTGATCGGTGTGAGATGGCATCACACTGTGATTTCAATTTGCTCTTCTCTGATGATTAGTGAGGTTGAGCATCTTTTCATATGTTTACTGGCCACTTATATGTCTTCATTGGAGAAGCATCTATTCAAGTCCTTTGCCCAGTTTTTAATTGGATTGTTTGCTTTTTTGGTGTTTTGTAAGTTTGGTGTTCACTTTTTTGGAGTTTTGTAAGTTCTTTATAATTTTTGGATATTCATCCCTCATCAGATATATCAGCGTATATGTTATCCCATTCCAAAAGGTTTCTTTTTGTTTTATTGATGATTTCCTTTGTTCTGCAAAAACTTTTTAGTTTGATGTAGTCCCATTTGTTTATTATTTCTTTTGTTTTTTTTGCCTTAGGAGATATATCAGTAAAAATATTACTTCGAGCAATATTCCTTTTTCTGCACCATCTGTCCAATTTTCCCAGCACCATTTATTGAATAAACTGTCTTTAACCCATTGTATGTACATGCTTCCCCTGTCGAATAATAAATTGACTATAAAGGTGTGGTTTTATTTCTGGACTCTGTTCTTTTCCGTTTGTTCATGTGTTTGTTCTTGTACAAGTGCCATGCTGTTTAGATTACTGTGGCCTTATAGTATAGTTTGATATTAGGTAGCATGATTACTGTAATTGTTGTTCTTTATGAGGATTGCTGTTGCTGTGTAAGGCCTTTTGTGGTTCCATATAAATTTTTGAAATATTTGTTCTCTTACTGTGAAATATGTCATTGGAATCTTGATAGGAATTGTGTTGAATCTATAGATTGCTTTAGTAGCATGGACATTTTAATGATTTCATTCTTCATATCCATAAATATTGTATGTACTTCCACTTATTTGTATCTTTAGTTTCTTTCTTCAGTGTCTTATAATTCTTTGAGTACAGGTCTTTTACATCCTTGGTTTAGATTTATTCCTAGCTATTTTATTATTTTGGAAGCAATTATTATTGTTTCTCAGTTTCCATTTCTTATATTAGTTTATGAAAATAAACTGATTTCTGGATATTAATATTGTGTCCTGAATGCTGACTTCATTCATCAGTTCTAGTTCTTTCTTGATGGAGTCTTTAGGGTTCATTACATACAATGTCATGTTATCTGCAGATAATGACAGTTTTACTTCTTCCTTGAGTCTTTAGGGTTCATTCTGTACAATATCATGTCATCTGCAAATAATGACAGTTTTACTTCTTCTTTTCCCATTTGGATACCTTTTATTCTTGTCTGAGTGCTATGGCTAGGACTTATAATAGTATGTTGAATAAGAGAGGTGAAAGGAGCCATCCCTGTTTCGTTCCTAATCTTAAAGGGGACGCTTGTAGTTTTTGCCTGTTGAGTATGATGCTTGCAGTGGGTTTATCATATAATGACCTTTATTATGTTTAGGTATGTTCCCTCTATTCCCACTTTGCTGAGAGTTTTTATCATAAGTGGGTGCTAGATTTTTTCAGATGCTTTTTCTGCATCTATTGATAAGGTCATGTGGTTTTTATCCTTCATTTTGTTTATGTGGTGTATCATATTTATTTCACTAGGTGTAATCTGTCTTTTCAGATTCTCTGATTCTTCCTTATTTAGTTTTTGAAAATTGTATGTTTCTAGGAGTTTATCCATTTCATCCAGGTTGTCCCAATTTGTGGGAACATAGTTGTTCATAATATTGTCTTACAATTCTTTGTATTTCTCTGGTGTCTGTTGTCATTTCTTCTCTTTCATTTCTCATTTTATTTATTTGGGTCCTCCCTTTATCTTGATGAGCCTGGTTAAAGTTTTGTCCATTTTGTTTATCTTTTTAATGAACCAGCCCTTGGATTCATTGATCTCTTGTAACTTTTTTTTTAAGACTCGATTTCATTTATTTCTATTCTGATCTTTCCTTTCTTCTACTCACTTTGGGCTTTGTTTTCCTTTTTTCCCCCCAGTTCCTTTAACTGTAAAGTTAGATTGTTTATTTCAACTTTTTCTAGTTTCTTGAAATAGGCCTATAATACTATGAATTTCCCTCTTAGGATTGCTTTCCCAGTGTCCCACAGATTGCGGATTGTTGTGTCCTCATTTTCATTTGTTTCAAGGTATCTTATGGTTTCTTCCATGATCTCATTGTTGATTTCATTCATTGTTTAATACCATGTTATTTAGTTCCATGCCTTTGTGTATTTTTTAGTTTTCTTTTTTGTGATTAATTTCTAGTTTCATAGCATTGTGGTCAGAGCAAATGTGTGATATGATTTGAATCTTAAATTTATTGAGACTTGTTCTGTATTCTAACATATAGCCTATTCTTGAAAAAATTCAATGTGCTCTTGAAAAGTATGTATATTCTGCTGCTTTCGGGTGAAATGCTCTGAAGATATCAATTGAATTCATTTGATCTAGTGTGTCATTTAAGGCCACTGTCTCCTTGTTGCTTTTCTGCCTAGAAGATCTATCCATTGAAGTCAATGGGGTGTTAAAATCCCTGACTATGACTGTATTTCTGTCGATCTCTCCCTTTATGTCCATCAAGATTTGCCTCACATATTTAGGAGCTCCTGTGTTCGGTGCGTAAATGTTTACTAGGGTTATACTTTGAAGTCATTTATTTAGTGTGACTTCACTGTAATGTGGAAGAATCCCCTACTTGGTATTTCATTTTGGTGCAATGTAATTTATTTCTGCTGCACTCCAATATTGAGAGGTCAGAAAGCTGAGGAGCTTGTTTAATTGTGTCACTTCTGTAATTTGCTTTGTGTGGGATTATCCTAAAATATAAAATACGTTACTCTTTGATAGGAATGGTCATTGATATAGTTACGTAAATTCAGATTAAAAAATGAGATTACAGCGTATTTAAGACATTGTTCTTGGCCTGTCTGAAATACAAAAATTCAAAATCTACAATTGACTGAGAAAGTTTGCAGATAGTGTGGTTTGTTGTATTTCAAACATTTTATTTGAAAAAAATAATAAATTTCCAAATGACAGATTGGACCCTGGAAAATAACTCTTATTTATATAGAGAAATTCCTGTAGACAAAGAAACTTGCTAGATGGTTAAGCAGATGTTTCTTCTAATTGATGTTATTTCTATTTGCATATTGCTAAATGTTATGTTCATTAAAGTATTTGGAAATTGTAATAGTAGGTAAGCATAAAAATCCCTAGATACTGGGAGATTTAAGCAAACTGTGCTTGTATATTTGTAAAATTAAGTTTTAGCTACAAAGAATATGGAAATTGGGTAGTCAAATTCATTGTACTGGCTGGTACAACATTAGTAACTAACTTTTTTGTATATAATACAGTTTAAAATATTTGAAAAGATGACATTGTATCCATGTAAAAATTGACTTAAATTATGTGATTGATTACCTACCTAATTACACAGTAAATTTTAGCAATATTCAAATTAGAACAAAAATTTGAAGACAAACTTGCTAATACATTTAAATTTAAATGTATTAAGGTTTCAGACCACACCCCTCCACCACCCCCACCCCCATAAAAAAGCTGTGAGTTGATCTGGGTAAATCATAACTTGATGCTTGAGGTAAATTCAGTGGAAACAGTGCTCAGTAAACCTGTTAAGACTCTCTTTATGCATATGAAAAATTAAAATACTATTATTAACCTCATTTCTTTCTGCAAAGCATTTGAAATGGTTTTCAATTCATCAAACTTCAAATAATATAATACATAAAATCAGCCAGGGATATATAAGTGTTATATAAAGAAAACATCAAGAGATGGGGGCAATAACATAGCAGATTACTAAGAAAATACTGTAGAGGCCATATTTTGAGAACCCAAGTTTGTATCATCTGGTGACTAACTCTTGTAATAAGGTCTGATTTGACCCAAAGGCAGAGAAGCTCCATCTTGTCTTCTGATGGTTCTTTATATAGAATGTCACATCTCAGCTGGGTCTCTATACGTAGTATAACAGTTGATATTTTGAGCTTGTTCTTTTAAAGAGGACCTGGACTACCTATTCTGTGTTTTAAGGTAGAATTCCATATGCTTAAAAACTGTACAGGTAAACAAAGAATAGCTACTATGTTTGATGTCCTATTGTGAAACTTAATTTAAAATAAGGTTATTTGCTTCTTCCTATTGCACAAAGATCTTACAGTAACTGATAGAGGATAGACTTTTGAAAGTACAAATAGTATTTTGTCTACCAGTTGTCCTAGTTTGTTTCTTAAATAATTCCTTTTGTTCTCACTAAATTTTGATGCCATCTTAAAAAAAATGTTTTATTCCATTAATGGAGCCTGTTTTCTTACATTTATTTTGTAATAGTGCCTTTATGTTTTAATATTAGTAGGAATAGTTCTTCATTACCTTAACTTTTAAAAAACTTTTTTGTCTTTTCTTAATTTTATTCATTTTTAAATTTTAAAAAATGTATGCAGAATTAATATAAAGAGATGTATATTTTAATGAGTGGTAAGATGTCACAGTTCAAAAAATATAAAGAATATAAGTATGTTGAATAGCAACCTTTAATTATAAAAATGTAAAGCTTTATAATTGAACAGTTTAAGGTGGTTTAATGCTGAGCATATTTTTAGTAGTAATTATTATTACAGATATATTTTTCATAGTAACAATGTTTTCATTGCAAGCACTAAGTTTCTGTACTAAGAACTTCCTCTTTTATACCCAGCAACTTACATAGATGAAACTAAAGAATATGCAGATTTATTTGTTTATTTAAAATGACATTAAAAATATGGGCATATCATCTTTACCTATTATTAAATATTTCATAAACTTTTTAATATTATTTAGTTAATAAACCATGCTCTGAAAGAACTAATGGAGATAGAAGATATGAGCGAAAATGTATTACAAGTTCACCTAAATGGTAAGTATGCCATTTTTTGCAATTGGAAATGATAACTAATCATGAGCTTTTCATACTACGAAACTAAATTCACTCGTATGTTTTAAATTTAGATTAATAATTATATCTTAAAATGTAGATCTGTGTCTAACAAGTTTTAGTTTTGTATACTATATACAATATTTTTAGAAACTAAAACAAAAATAAAGGAGACACATAAAACCTTTTGTTTTTTTCTTTTTTTATATAACACTGACTCCAAAAAAATGTTTCTTTGTTCTTTTAATCTACCAAATATCTTTACTGCTCAGTTGTAAAAAGAAATACAAACTCACAGTCTTTCATTTTTTTTTCTGGTTCAATTCAAAAACCAGTAGAAAATGTTTTTGACTGGGAAATAATCTGTACTGTGTCAAATGCATAGTTTATTTTAGTTAAATAATTTTAAGTGGGCTTTATTTCAGGACTGCTGCAGACCAACGATAAAATAGCCCTAAAGGAAATCACAAAGCAGTTAAATCTGGAAAACGTAGTTGGTGATAGAGATTTTGTAAGTATCATTTCTGTTCTTTTATTAAATAGGCATAAAAGTAAAATCTATGATATTACATCTTTGTACTTTTGGAAAGCTAGGGAGGGTTCAGAGATTCTAAATTGAAATATGCAAGGTTTTTGTCAAAATGTATACTGTGCTAGGATGCATTTATTCATCAAAACCTAGTTCATGTAGATTTTATCTGAATTTGTTCCTTTATTTGTAAGATAAATACTCCAATTCTGTGTATTTTTTTGGAGATAGATTAACGTTTTTAAAAATACTTTAGTGGTCTATTTCTAGTTTTCTGAGTCTTGGGTAGCATGGGGTTGATAGAAAATGTACTGTATTTGAAGTTACGAAAAGGTGGGTTTAGTTTTTGCTTTATAGCCTGGTGACCATGATTAATTAATACCTCTGCATTTCAGATCCCTCATCTGTTAAATGGGCATTATCTTAAACTTACTTCATGACAAAAAATTATTAAACATTTTTTATGTTTTAAGAAAAGATACTTGATGGCAATAACATACTATACAAATATCAGTTACCTCTTACTGTTAAATTGTTTTCAGAAACTTACCAATAACTCATGATAATACCTTGGAATCTAGGACAGTGAACATCAGTAACTTTAAAAAAAATGATTACAAATGTTTTTGAACTTCTAAAACCTTTTTACCTATCACTTGATTTATGGGGCTCAATGGAAGAATATAATTTTTAGCTGCCTTAATTTTTGTGATGGAACAACTGATTTTCATACTGTTAATGCATTTGAAGTGGGTTATATATAAGTGGGGATACCCTAAAAACAGAATTTATTTTTTTTTTAAATTGTGTGTTTAATTTCAGTCACCTTCAAAATACTTTCCATTTGATACAGCACACCTTTGAGACATTTTTCCACCGCTCAAAACAGTTTTTGAACCCATCATTTTGATGCCTTTTAGTGCTCTTGCTGTTTTTGTTTCACCTCTTCCACACCTGCAAAATGTTTCCCTTTGAGGACTTTTTCATCAGGAAAACAAAAGATAAGTCACTTGGGTGATACCAGGTTAATGGGGATGGTGGGGCACAGGGATCATGACATTTTTTGATCAAAAATTGCTGAACACTAAAGTACAGTGTGGGCAGGTGCACTCGTAAATCACCCATCATGAAATGGGCAAACCTGTTGAAAGACTTAAGAAAAAAAATCTACCGAAGCAAATGCTACCTCTCACAATACCACCAGCTGGCACACTGATACAGATGGGTTCCTAGAACACTCACCCAGTTGGGGAAGCCTGAACTACAAGGGGCCCAACCTCCAAAAGATAATTCTGGGGTGTTTTGGGGGTCCCCCTCATACCTTCCCAGTTCATTTTCTGGTTACTAGCAATCATGCAGTGCTGTCACTCTAATTTCTAAACTGTGTATTCTCTAAGGCAGTGACACAGCCATAGTTGTGAAAACCTCCTCACATTTAGTAATTCATTCTTTTGTGATTATCTATAAAAACTTGAGCCAGTCTTGTGTTACTCTTTCATTGTCCACAGGTCTCTGAAGTGCAAGTTCAAAATGCTCCTTTTAGAACTCCAGTGTTCTACTTTCTATTAAATTTTAATGTTGAAAGTAGTTGCCTACTTGGTCTAGGAGAGTTACTGTTACAGAGGCTCAGTTTGGCTTTTGGGTTTCCAATTGAAGTAGATTGGTGTTTCTGACTTTCTTAAATAGACCTCTGACATTGGATTCACAGTTGTTTGTCATCCTGGTCATCAGCATTGTTACCATAGTTGTCACATGTTATGGTAAATACCTGTAGTCTGCCTACCTTGGAAAAAGTATTCACTTGACTGAATGTAATGATTACAAAATATGTGGAAGTTCTGTAAAACTTATGCTGTTTAATATTAGTTCTCTAGATCAGGAAACAAATAACTGTTTTTTTTTTCTTTACATTTTCTCAAATTTAAAGTTGACTATTTCGTTAAATTAAAAAATCTGAAGTAAATTGACTTTAATGAAAAAATATTTAACAGGGCCTTTATCCACAAGCCGGAACATCTGGATAATACATCTGCTTCTCTGTTGTTTAATTTCCATCTAGAATATTTAAGTTGTATCCAAAAATGTTTTGCCTGTGCTCCAAGTATTCATAGCCAAATTTGATATGCTATATACAAATTCTGTAATATGCTCTTGAATAGAGATGCACTATTATAGTTTCTAATATTTGAGGCAAATTTCTTTTTTTTAGTGGTGGAGATTAATTTGAGACTTGCAAGAGCCTGATGTGTTTAAAGATACAAAGTGCAATGGGTTTCTAGTTCTCTAACTATATTTATAATATATCAACTCTTAAATACTACCTTTAAAAAGTTAACATTTTTATGGGTTTTATCCAGAAAACATAAAATTTTGAACATGATTTACTAATGCCATTTTCAGTGCTATTTCATTCTGCTTTTATATATTTAAGTTTTAGATTATAAGCATGGTGAAAATCTGAATCTGAGATTCAGCTGAAAATCTGGTCACTGGCTCTAGTTTACTATAAAAAATAGAGTGTCTTTGTAGTGTTTAAAGGTCAGATACAGAGTGTGTCTATATAATGTCTAAGGGCCAGATTGCCCTTCTGTTCTTTATTTCACTAAACTAAGTTATGGTATGGTTTTTTTTGTTGTTGTTATTCAGGGAAGCTTTGCTGAAAACCTTTCATTCATTCTGGAAGCTCTAAAAAAAGGTAAATATTAACTTATTTAACAGTATTAAGGATATTTAACTTTATGTTTCTCTGATTATAAAAATAACATGTTTTTACAAAAAATTAACAATATATAAAAAAGAATAAAGTAATCATCACTGTATTCTCACCCCTGGAATAGTGATTATCCCAACTAACTTGGTTTCGTATCTTTATTCACCTGTAGTATATCATTGTAGATAGATAAATAATTTTTATAAGAATAAACTCATTTTTGATATTGTATAGTCTACATCTTTTCATTTACTAATAGCATGTTGTGAGCATGTCATATCTTTCCATGTCAGTAAATATTGAGCTGCACCATCATTTTTATAAATCTCATACATTTCATTTTATAAATATATATTAACTGTAGTTAAAAATATAAATTATATCTTAATAACAACCAGTTATGGGCTTTTATTTCTAATTTTATATAATTAAGGAGATTGTCTTAGATAATTATATAACCAAAAACAGGTCCGTAGAGGTTACCTGCCTCTACAAAAGCCACAACTGGAGAGGCAGGTGCTGCTATAAGGGAAAATGGTTTGTTTGCAGGTGCCAGCCATCTGGAAGATGGGGACTCATGTCTCAAAGCCTATCTCTACCTCTCAGTGGAGGCAGAGGTTTTTTTATAAGGAGAGAGAGGGGAACAGAACATAGAGATCAAGAAGGGGATTGACAGTTCCATATGCGCAGATGAGCACAGTCCATTTTGATAAGGCAAGTGATGGTGCAGTGCATTTCATCCTGGTTTAGTCATCCTGGCTCCATGGATAAAGGTCAGCAAATCTCCTGGAGCTGGGATGCCTGGAGGTTGGAGTCTGTATCTTTTGAAGCTAGTTCCTAGGGTTCCTATACAAACATGTTCATCTACAAGCCACATATTAGTCAGAGTCAGCACTTACAGAAACAATGTCAAAAGAATGGTAGGGTGGTTTATAATTTTCTACTGTTACAGTCATGCAGATATTTCCTGGGATAAATTTCAGTTAGTAGAATTCTGGATTAAAATGTACAACATTTAAAAAGAATAAATACTACCAAACTGCCCTAGAAGGTCAATTTTCTAAGCATATTTCATAGTGCTATTTTCTTTACAATTTCAAAAACAATTAATTTTTATGTTTGTCTTTTATATTTCAATAGAAAAATAATTTGCTAAATTTTGGCAGTTACCATTGTCTATTTTTATTGGCCACTTATATTTCCTGCTTCATGCATTTCCTGTTGCTTCTTTGCCTTATTTTGGTGTTTAGTTTGCATTTATTTATGGGAATTCTTTTTATTTTATTTTGTTGATTGATTTTAGAGAGAGAGGTAGGAGAGGAGAGGGGAGAGAGGAAAAGAGAAATGATTTGTTGTTCCACTTGTTTATGCATTCATTGGTTGATTTTTGCATGTGCCCTGACTAACCATCGAACCTGTAACTTTGGTGAATCAGGACAACACTCGAACCAACTGAACTACCTGCTCAGGGCCTCCTTATGGATATTCTTGCACTTAATATTTTTCTTCTCTTGAATATGGTTTTTATTTTCTACTGAACAGAATTTTAAAATTTTTACATAGTCAAAGTTTTTTCTCTCCAAATTTTAAAGATAATTATGTTTTCATGTAATACATATACTTGTAATTAATAATTTGGCTGGAGTTTATTTTGGTAAGGTATAAAGTGGATCTCTAACCTTGGATAAGCACTTTGCCTCATCGATAAGTAATGCTGTATTTTACCAGTACTAAATTTCTAATTATGTAGATCTGTTTCTAAACTTTTTAGCAGTCCCTCTGAAATTCATGCCATTTAGGTTAGTGTTAAGTGTTTTATTGTCTGTTGGAGTGAGTGTTCGCTTACCAGATTTTCTTTCCACTTGTTTATGCAAATAAAAAGCCTTAAACCTAAAGGTAATAGTGATTCTTTTGCTAAGGTAGGTTCCATTATGATGAGAAAAATGAATCCACAGGGTCATGTTGAACTTCTCCCTGTTGTTGCAGCCTTAAAATTGTGGTTAGAAGGCATTATAGTAGTTTTGATTGAACTTCAATCTAACCATTATTTATAAAAAAATAATTTCTATGGGATTTCTACTAACCAAACAAGTCTCTTTTGAAGTAACAGTTTTGTGCATAAAGTAGTGACTGTTTATATTTAATCTCAAAGTGATTTGGTCTGTTTAGGTATTAAGAGAACTTCGTAAGTTTTCTGATGATAGAAGAACTATGTTTACACAATTTGAAAAACAATAGTCTTCAGTATTTAAATGATTTTCTTAATTTTTCGTCAGTAAACTGCTAGAGTCTAGTAGTTAGACTGAAATACTTAAGGCTGTCTTATCCTGTGAATAATTTATTTTTGTTGAGTAAATGTACTTGCATTGGTAAGTGCCCTATCCCGAGCAGGTTATCAATATTTGTTTGTTGAATTAAATTTTAAAAAGTGTAATGTAGTAAATAGCTTGGAAATTAACAAAGGTCGACATAACTGCTTGTTAATATCAAACTCTTATTTTAAACCTTAGGTGACCGATCGAGTAGTTGTCCAGTGATCTTCATATTAGATGAGTTTGATCTTTTTGCTCATCATAGAAACCAAACACTCCTCTATAATCTTTTTGACATTTCTCAGTCTGCACAAACTCCAGTAGCAGTTATTGGTCTTACATGTAGATTGGTAAGTCTTTCTATTAAAAATTAATTATATTTATAAAATTAAAGCTTAATTACCAACATAGATACCTATGTAGGTCATCATATTCATATTAGGCATTTTCAAACATGTTTCATCAATGCCTGGTGTATCAGGTTGAAGAAAATAAGAAAACAGGTATCACACATGCTCATAAATTAACACCTCCATCCCTCCAGTGGAATCACTAAATTTAAAAATGTGAAGCCAGATTATGCAAATAAATACAGTTTCTACATTAGCATGTAAAGAGAAAGTTAAAATAATCTTATCACCATTTGATAAAAGTCACTAATAGTTTGTGTTTACATTTATGATTCCATATTTTGAAAATGGGATCAACTCAGAATGATACTATTTTAACTTCTTAAGTACACACCTTTGGAATAAGGCTCATTTTTCTTTTTTATAGTTCTTTGTGTTTTTTAGAAAAGTGTAGTTTTTTACAAAGTCACCTTTCAGCACTGCTTTTTCTAGTGCTGTTTCTTCTATGGAGTGGCCTTTTCTGTCCTCCTTCCCCAGTGCTCCAGAGCTTATGATGTCTGCCTTTATAGTTAGCCCCCCTGTAGATGTTTCTCCTCATATCTTATTCCTCCTTGCCAAAAGCATCATCCTGTCATAGGGGTTAAAGCACCTTTCTTCTTGCTATAAAAATCTTCCTTTGCGCCCTGGCTGGTGTAGGTCAGTGGATTGAGCGCAGGCTGTGAACCAAAGTGTCGCAGGTTCTATTCCCAGTTAGGGTACATGCCTGGGTTGCAGGCCATGGCCCCCAGCAACTGCACATTGATGTTTCTCTCTCTCTCTCTCTTTTTCTCTCTCCCTTCCCTCTCTAAAAATAAATAAATAAAATATTTAAGAAAAAAATGTTTCTCACACACATCAGTGTTTCTCTCTCTCTCTTACTCTAGCTCCATCCACTTTCTAAAAAATTGAATAAATAAAATATTTTTTAAAAATCTTCCTTTGCCCTGGTTGGTGTGTAGCTCAGTGGATTGAGTGCTGGCCTGTGAACCAAAGGGTCTGCAGTTCGATTCCCAGTCTGGGGCACATGCCTGGGTTGCCGGCCAGGTCCCCAGTAGGGTGCGTGTGAGAGGCAACCATACATTGATGTTTCTTTTCCTTTCTTCCTCCCGCCCTCTCTCTAAAAATAAATAAATAAAACGATTGTTTTAAAAAATCTTCCTTTGGTTGGAAGTGGCAGTGGCAAATGTTGTTGACCCAGGGAAGGAGCAAATAAAGGGTCAGTAGCTCCTTAGCAATGTTATGAGAGTCTCTTTTTTATTTTGATATGTCATTTTCAAACAAGTACATAAGTGTCTATGTTTATAGGGGAAAAGCAAAAAGACAGATGGAGTGGTGTCTTTGCCAGCAAATAACCTCTTCCCTGTGGAAGAAATGCCTTTTTTTTTTTTTTTACTGACCTCTTTATTCCCCCATTACCAATTTCTGTCATTACTGTTCACCACTAAAATACTTTTTATATTCATCTTTCTTCCCCAAATGTGGGTTCTTAGTTATTGCTTGCATAGTGTGTTTGCTTACATAGCCTTTCAGCCACTTACCTGTATGAGTGATGTAGAACTGCTCCTTAAGAGAAAGTAAATATATAATATTCCTTTCTCTAAATTTAACTTCCTTTTTTAAGCTATAAAATTATTCCAGGTTTTTCATTCACCCTCTTCCCTCCAACCCCAATCTATTAATCTTTCCTGTTTTCCTCCCCAAACTGACCATGATCCCATTTTGAGCCCTTGAATTCTTTCTTCTACATAGTTGATTTCTTAACCTAGTTATTAAATGAAAATCACCTGAGTAGATTTAAAAATCCATATTTTTGGGCCTCACCACAGCTTATTTTTTTAGCTTTTTAATTTTAGAAAATTGACAGTAAACTTGATTTCTAACTTTATAAGGAAAAATAGCACTTTTCCTTATAAGGAAATTTCCTTTATAAGGAAAAAATAAGGAAATATAAGTAGTTTCTAAAATATCACTATGAAAAGCCAGAGGACAGTCAGTTACCGCTGTCATGCTCTGTTCTGCCAGTTTCCTCTTATGCAATTTGTTCCTTTAGTCTAGGTGGCTTCAGCTTAAATTGTGGGTGTTTCAGTGAATGGAACTTTTCTCCATTACACATGCTGCTACTTGAGTCTTTGTTGCATAAAACAATAAAGATGACATTTACATTTTTATGAATGTACTCAGTATTTCTATTATCTTAATTTTTATCTGAATTCTTTGTAGATGTACAAAATTCCTTATTAACACACTTAATGTTACTATGACATAACTATTTAATAATAGTTAAATATTTTTAGCAATTATGGTAGGTCTTAGAATGTTAAAAATTATCTGAAAATAACATGGCAGGTAAATGACATCACTAGGCCTACAACTGCTTACAAGTGGATTAAAGTAGTATGCATAACAGAATTTTTTAAAGGTTTGGTTAATTTCCAAGCCATACTCTCTTAGTTTTACTGCCTTGTAACCATAAAGAGATCAAGGGAATAATTTGAGATTTTAGAGGCTTTCATAAATTTTTTTATGCTTGTGTATTATAGGATATGCATGGCTAATTACAAGTGATAGTTTAAATACTTATAACTAACATTGATATTTTTTGTAACATGCATCTTACTGGAATTTCTGTTTGTTTTTAAGGATATTTTGGAACTCTTAGAAAAAAGAGTGAAGTCACGATTTTCTCATCGGCAGATACACTTAGTGAATTCATTTGGTTTTCCACAGTATCTTAAAATATTTAAAGAACAATTATCTCTGCCTGCAGAATTTCCAGATAAGCTTTTTGCTGACAAGTGGAATGAGAATGTTCAGGTAACCTAGAACAAAAGTAATAATATTTAATGTAATTTGTGTGTCTTGCTATACCATTTGAAAGCAATTAAAACTTACTAATATTTAAAATGTCTAAATTAGCACAAAGCTTCTAATGTACTGTGTGCATATATTTTCATCTCAAAAGACTGTTGAAACATCATATCTTTTGAATTTTTTCTCTCAAAAGAGCTTCAGTGAGATTTTTGTTTTATTTATACCTGATTTATACTTTATTTTCTTAATGGATTTCCGTCATAAAACTTAATTTTTTTATTTAATAAATTTAGCAGTATATTAGCCCAGTGATTTATACCTGCCTATCCATTGCATTTCTTTTCCTTCCAGTTCTCATAAAGAACTTGAGCTTTTGTCTGATTGTGTTTATTAAGAGGCAGTCTAGAGTATGGCACTTGTGGTTCTGTTACGTACATTGGTGAATTCCATGTTGGAGTCCTGAGGTTCTTAGCTACAGAGGCACCTTCACGTGTTGTTTTGAAGTTTTACTAAACCTGAGAAGTCCGTAAATTCACCTACATTTAAATTGAACAGACTAACCTGTGCAGACCATTATTATATGAACTTAACAAATTAGCATCAGTTTATCTTAGGCTGACAAAAAATTTCAGTTATGAAGGAGAGGAGGTTTAATAACATAATTGAACAATGTTGTTAGATAAATCTCACATAGTAAAATCTTTCAAAAATATGGGTCCTGTGAAAGTGAAAAGATTGTTTTATGTTAAAGCAATATTGATTTTATTCTTAAATAACAATACCAAATTAAAAGTGAGAATTCTGTATTTATATTTCTCTTAAATCTATCTTCTCATTTTTGTTGAAGAATAATTGACAAGTTGAAAACAGTATATGGTGTACCACTTGATATTTTGATATACATGCATTGTGAAATACCCCAATCAAGCTATTAAACATATCCATCATCTTGCATAGGTATAATTTCTTTTGCATGTGAGAAAACTTAAGATCTATCCTCTAAGCAAATTTCAAGTGTACAGTACTGTATTGTTAACCATAGTCACATCAGTGTACTTCTTCATCTCTGGAACTTACTCATCTTTCATTACTGAAACTCCACTCTTGTTTTAATAATAAAATATAGTTCGATCATGTAAGTATTATAATTTTGACACGTTTTATTTTTTAATTTAAAAGTTCATTGAACAAATTTAATCAGTGGTAAGAATACAAGATAAAAGGTAGAAGTTTCCCTCAAATGACAGCTTATTCTTTTTTTTTGCTACAGAGTAGTTACTTGGTTTATAGCCATTTCAGACTTTATGTACATACTAAGCTTATATTTACATAAAATGTTCAAGCTCTTATTTTTTCTAAGTATATGGAATTATATGTAAAAGTGGCTAATACTATCTTAAAATTTAGATATTATGCCATGGTATAAGTAGGTGTGGGTCCTCCCTTCTGCCCTCTTCCTGAAATTAGACTTGCCTGGGACTCAGATATTTGTTAGCTCAGGCAAGTTTTCTTTGACACTTTAACTATAAGATTCCATTTTTTAGGAACACTGTACAATTGGTGCTCCCACATTGTCCCTTCTTTTACCAAGGTCTGGAGTGGATCAGAGCTCTGGCCTCCTGGTCTTTGAATCTACTTCTGAGTGAGTCAGAGACTTTCACATTCTACAGCTCTTTAACTGATATCTTGTTACAATAGTGTGTTTTCTGACTGCATTAAAGATTCAACTGCGGTCTTTCATAATGTTTAAATTTGTGCTATCCCAGGGCTTTTACTACTTCTTTCCTCAGATGACTACATAGCCCAGGTTGTACTATGCCATCATCCATCTTTCTGTGCTTCCCAGACATGTTACATTCTGATCATCTCAGTGGGTATATAAAGGAAGTAGATGATGGGCGTTATCGGTGAAGCATAACTCAGGATTACTCAGAAAGTTGGGAATGATGTGGTAGTAGAGGGGCTGACCCTTAGGTTTGTGGTCCATTTTTTTGCTGGTCCTATATCACTGAATTTAGGGGCAGGTGGTAGGAATGAATGTTTCAGTACTAGTCTATTTTTTTTTTGACAACCTTGTAGTCTTTTTATAAGGTAATACGAGTGACACTGGAGTGTGTCTCTCTTAGTTCTAATACTTTTTTAAAAATTCTAATCATTTTTCACCTCCTTTTAGTATTAAAATGAACTTCACTTGAAAAATATGTCAGCACCTTGGCCAGAGGCCCTGTCCTGTAGTAGGAGTCAGGTAGGGACTGCATTGAGGGAGCTGTCGTTTCTCTCAGTGCTGACTGTCCAGCAAGCTTTTCTAATTCCAAAGTTAAACCAAAAACAGTAGTTTAGATAACAAGTCACCTATGGCATCTCATTCAGGAATATCTTTAGGATAGTGTTGAACCTGGAACTCTGAATATTTTAACCCTGCTCCAGATGAGTCAAGCAGAGTGAACACTATCTCAGCATGGCAGTGTAAGAGAAGTAGATCCCTGTATAAAAGAGCATCTGAAAGAACCATAGCTAATGTTCCTCTAACAAAATTTTCTCAAGGTACTATTGCTAAGGGCAAGGAAGATTTAGAAGATTTACCTATTGTCTTAAACCTTCCCTGTTTAGTTAATAAAAGGTGAGAGGTTTCTGCAGGAAATGACTAGGAGATTTAGCACATGCACTGCTGCCAATAAGTTATCCCTAGAGCAGCGTGAGTCCTGAGATGCGAGTGTAATCCTGTAACATTCTGCTCAGAATCTACCTGAAGAAGGCACTGGCCAAACCCTGTGCAGTCAGCACAGTAAGAACTTCTGTGGTAGCTTTGCATGAGTTCATCAAGGAAAAGAAATACATCAGCTTCTGTGAACAATGGGAGATCTGCTTTATTTCTGGGAATTTCTCCCATGTTCCTGTAAGTGGTGATGTGAGTCCCTGTCTTACTCCCTTTACGTCATTTCTGGAGACAAATATAAGAAATTCAGTCACGTTTCAAAACCTAAGATGTAATATCTTCAATAATTATCATAATTAGTTAAATATAATAGGCATTCAGTAAGTGGTTATTGATAATAGCCTTATTCTCAGGTAGTTTATGTTTGAATTAAGGTGAAATTAAAAATGTGATGAGGTTGTGTTTTTTAATGTCTCAAACGTAGATCCTGTAAACTTTTTAAAAATCAGATTAATTATGGAAGCAAGGAAGTGATAGCCTTCAGAAGGAAAGGGAGTTGGATTCAGACCTGAAAAAAATAGAGAGATGAGCAAAAAGGCAGAATATAGAAGACTAACCCTTAGACACATGTTATTTTTTAAAAAGCAAATACTTAAAAAAAAAAACAATTGAATTCTGGTAGGAAAAACTCTTTCATCAATATTTTTGTCCCAGGGGATTTTCTTTAGTTTCCCTAAGTGCTTTGATTGTAATACATCAACTTTATATGTGACTTGGTTAAGAGTCAGAAATTTTAGAAGCCAGGACCACAGTTAATTTCCAGAAGTCTTTGATTTTAATTACTTTGCTTTATTTTGCGTTCATCTTTTGTATGTCCAAAGGATATTTGACCCTGTTTATAATAAAAAGGAAAAAGGTATGTACAGTAATAGCAAGTCCTTTAAAATAGAAGACCTAAAACCATAGTGTAAGGGTAATGGGAACTAGAACTAGGATAATATGTTTACTGAAAATGCAAAACTTTATTTCATGAGACTAGAACTTCTTCCTAGATCCATATCTTCTTAACAGTGGAAGAAGTAGAAAAAGCAGTTTTAGCTCTAGAAAATGAAGAAGTACATAGTATTTAGTTTTCTGGATTTGGGCCTTTTTTCTTTTTTTTTTTAAGAAAAAAATTCTTACTCTTTGCAGAGGATTTTTTAAAAATTAATGTCAGTCTTCCACAAACCTTTCTTGATTCTGCCAACTTTGAATTTACTTTTCTTTCATTAACCTTTCTTCTATGCCAAGTGTACCTTTCGTTACTTGTAATCCACTGCAGTCAGTTGACTCTTTTCTCCAAGTTTCCAAAGCTATTGGAAACTTGGCTTGTTTCCAAAGCTATTGGAAAGCTATTGGCTTGTTTCTTCTCAGAATATATCTTAATTATACAAAGTACTTTATACATTGTTGATCACCAGTGCCTCTTGAAGTTTTCTTCCCTAGGTTTTATTGCTCTTGCTTTACTCTCTTCTAGTGTTCAGTATCTTTCTGAATCTTTTAACTTTGCTTTTCTTTTTCCATCTGCTTCTTAAATATTGATAATCTGTTTCACTTCTTGACCACATCTCTCTTCACTTCTGGGGCATTCTGTATGCTGTGATGTCATCTCTGATTTTTTTCTTGTCCCTCTCAAACCCTTTCTTCTCCACTTTTCGTCTGTTGTGTCTCCATTGAACATATCTTTTATGTCTTAATTCTCTCCCGTCTTCACACCACTTTAATTCAGACCCTCTTTGTCTCTTGTATGAATAGTTAAAATTACCTCCAATTAGGTTGTCCTGCCATTTCTTTCTCTACAGATTGCTTTGCCAATAACTGAAACTCAGGATTACATGCCTACTTATCTTCTGTCACTGTGCCACAATCTTCCAACGTTACTCATGCTGTTCCTTATGACTGATACATCCTTTCATCTATTTAACCTATTGGCTCATACAGTTTAAGCATTATGTATATAGCCTTGTTTTCCCAAGTATAGCAGCTCTGATTTTCTGTTGTGTTTTGTGCTGCATTTTGAACATCCCACTAGTATCACTGTGTAGATGCCCTTTTCAGACTAGAAATTTGTGGGTAGCAAGGATTATGCTTTATCTTTGTGTCAAATAATGTAAAGGGATGAGAAGAAAATCAGTAGACTGAAAATTTGATTTTGACTTTTGTATTCTGAGTAAGAGAAGCACCTATTTGATGATGAATAGAATTAACAAGGTAAAAAAAGGAAAGAATTAACAAGGTATACCAACTAGTGAGGCACAAGGTTATATTTAGGTTTTAAATTACATTATTCCTTAATTCTCTTTTGCCCCCCCGCCCCCAGTGTCTCTCTGAAGATACAAGTGTGCGAGAAGTACTGCAGAAGCATTTCAACGTCAGTAAAAACTTGCGGTCATTACACATGCTATTGGTTTGTATTAGTTTTGTTTTTATCACTTATTTTATTTCACCAAGTAATTATGTTCCAATGGGAATTGATTAAACCTATAGGTGGGTTTGAGGAGAATTATAATGTGTACTACATGGAGTCTGCCAATCCCTGGCTGTGATGCATCTCTCCTTTTATTAAGTTCTGATTTCTTTCATCATTATTTTATAATTTTTATTACTCTGGTCCTGTTTGTCCATGTTTAAAGTGTATTCCTGAATATTTAATATTTTAGAGCATTTGTAAACGATATTTGATTTTTAATTTTGTTTTCAGCATGCTCATTGTTAATATACAAAAATGTGATTGCTTTTTTTATGTTGATATTGTTCTCTACAGCCTTGCTGAATTCCTTCTAGGAGTTTTTTAGATTTCTTGAGACAGCCATATCATCTGCAAATAGATTTTTTTCCATTTCAATCTAATACATTTTTTGTCCTTTTCTTAACTGCGATGTTTAGCACCTCTCATACTGTGTTGAGTAAGTGTAATGAGGGTAGACATCCTTGCCTTGTTTTCAGTTTTAGAGGGAAAGAATTGAGTTCTTTAGCATAAGTATGATGTAAGCTATAGGTTTTTTATATACGCTAGTTATCAAGTTACAGTAATTACCATCTATTTCTAACTTGATGATAGTTTATTGTGAGCGGATGTTGAATTTGTCAAATGCTTTCTCTGTGTAAATGGATATGATCTGTGATTTTTCTTCTTTAGCTTGTGATATGTTGGATTACTTTGCTTGATTTTTTTTTAATGTCAAAATACCTTTGTATACCTGGAATCAATTCCACCTAGTTATGGCCTTTGACAAAGTAATTATATCTCATGCTTAAACAGTGTCAATGAACGGATACTTTATTCTGAAAATTAAAATTCTCCCTTCATTAAGAGTATTTGATGTTAGCCCAGTGTTTTCTAGAAAATTATCTGTGGAGAATACCTTTCAAGGAAAACCACTTTTTGTTTCATGAATTTCTTCATACTCCCATTTATAAAAATAATAGGTATCTTTTACTAAACAGCACTTGAGTCAGGTAATCCAGTTATTTTACCAACATTATGTCTTTCTTTTTTATTTGGGGGTATTTTTGTCCTTATTTTTGAAGAATCTGAGGCTTTTTGTGGTTAAATAACTTACCCCAGGTCACATAGGTAGTAGATGACAAACCCAACTCAGATCCAAGGTTCTTTGGCTTCAAGCATATATCTACTTCACCAAGTGGCTCTGCTATGTTTACTTACAGATTCTCCTTCCCCTTTTCTGTTTTTACTGAGGAAATTTAAGGGTTTTTTTTTTAATATACTATCTCTCTCCTTAGCAGTCCCCTTCCATTCATCTAAATCATACTGCCATTTTCATTAAGAGCTGTCTTGATTATAAAGTAATTTCAGGATAAAGAATTTTTAGAGTAAGGTTTTTAGTCATTTATATACCAAAGTTAGATGTTATTTACTAATTTATGGAATATAGAAGATGCACACATACACCACATACACATGTATATTCATATACAAACACACTGCTCATTTTGAGAAAGTATCTCCCTCTCAAAATTGTCAACATGAAAAGTCATTATTTTGTGAATCTATTACATTTCTAATTTGAGGTAATGGCTTGAGTTTGTCTTGATTTTTCTTGTTTAAGAAAAGTTCTGGTATTGGCAGAAATTATAAAAAGAGAGTAAGTCTTAACGGAGATTAACTATAGTTTGGATAATTTTTCAACAAAAAAAATCAGGAGTTAGCTGGTGGGGCCCAGTGGATTGAGTGCTGGCTTATTAACCAACGGGTCACTGGTTCAATTCCCAGTCAAGGCACATACCTGGGTTATCAGCCACATCCCCAGTAGGTGATGCATAAGAGGCAACCACACGTTGATGTTTCTTTCCCTCTTTCTCCCTCCCTTCTCTTCTCTCTAAAAATAAATAACATCTTTTTTTAAAAAAATCAGGAGTTATGCATATAGGAAAAAAACACTATCATTGCACATCTGAAAATGAATTCCTGTTTACCTAAAATGTATGTGCAAAAAAAAAAACTTTAAACATTTTAGAAAAAAATCTAAGTGAATAAATACATTTGTAATCTTGAGGTAGGGAAAGATTTCTTAGAGAAAATGCACAAATCCCAAGCTATAAAAAAAAAGATGGATAAAGTTAACTACACTTATTTTTTAAAGGTCTGGACAAAAGATGATAGCACAGAATAAATGAAGTTGGGAGAGGATGGATGCAGTGCATGTGATCATCGGTACCATTTGTAATATTAAAGAGCTTCTACAATAATCAGTAAAAGAACGACCTAAGAATATGAGCAAACTAGCAAAGTAGCGTCTCATATAACCTATAATATACAACGATGTTTAACCTCTCCAGTAACAAGGGAAATGGGACAGTTTAAACTCTACATAAACACTACAATTAAACCTTTTTTTTCCTGCCAGTCTGGTGGGTGTCAAAGTTTATGTGTAATGGAAATGTGTCTGTGACTATTAAAAATTATTGCTGCTGATAGTATAAAAATGTGTAGGTATTTTAGAGAACAATTTGGCAAATTAGGTATTTAGAGTAACTCAGATGCATAAGAACACATGTACAGGATTGTTTATTTGCAGCCTTACCTAACAATTCTGAAAAAAGGAAATGGAAGGTGTCCATCAATAGGAAAAGAATAATTAAATTGCAAAGCAATATAACAGGAAAAAATGAAGAAACTAGAATTGACACCTTGAGGGTGACTTTATTATCTTTTTCGTTTTTTAACAATTAAACATAAGGTAGCTAACTTCTGTCTGTCACTTCACCCTGCTCTGGACTGGATGATTGGGTAGTTAGCAAGTTTGTACAAGTTACAGATCTGCCTGTGTGGTTTGGTCTGGGGCTTTAAATAGTATTCTTTCTTATTTTTTATCTCTTCTGCTTGCTCTACTCCTTTTTATATGTATTTTTTTAAAGATTTTATTTATTTATTTTTAGAGAGGGAAGGGAGGGAGAGGGAGAGAGGGAGAGAGAGAGAGAGGGAGGGAGAGGGTGAGGGAGAGAGGGAGAAAGAAACATCAATGTGCGGTTGTTAGGGGCCATGGCCTGCAACCTAGGCATGTGCCCTGACCGGGAATCGAACCTGCGATGCCTGGTTCGCAGCCCGCGCTCAATCCACTGAGCTACGCCAGCCAGGGCTATATGTATTTCTTTTGAGGAGTTACAAATAAACAAGATAAGCAAATGGGAGGGATAGAGAGAACAGCAAAACTTTTATGCTTTACATGTATAGTTATATAGCATATGAATTGAAATACTAAATTTTAATAGAGCTAAATATGAGAGAATACTTTACCCATGCATTAATATTTACTCTCATAAGAATAGACTCTCCAAATTAAAAAGTTTTGTTCAGTAATAATCCCACATTGCCAAAGTATATCTGTAAATTGTTTATTGTTTTTTGCTCTCCATTTCCCTAGATGCTTGCTTTAAGTCACATAACAACATCACACCCATTTGTGACTGCAGCAGATCTGATGGAGGCACACCAGCTGTGTAGCATGGACTCTAAAGCAAATATTGTACATGGTGAGAAACCTACTTGATTAATACAGGGTCCAGCAGAAGTAACGCCTGCTTGAGTGTTGTTGGTAGGGCAGTAATATGGGTATAATAGTTTATAGTTTTAATTTGAACATTTCACCTAAAGTGTTATGTGGTGTGCTTGAGTATGATATTGTCATGTTACAGAATTACATGCTTATGATTTTGTGTAAAAGATTTTATAATTAAAAATGGGTGTTATTTTTGCCGGACCCTATAGTATTTTTATAGATTTGCGTTTGTATAAAGGAGTGCTTTTCAAAATTATAATTAACATTTTGTATAGTGCTTCATACACAGAATACTTTTATACCTACTCTGCCTTTAACTCAGCCTTTTATAAAGTGTTGTCACTCCCATTTAAAGTAAAAGAAAATTGATATTCTCCTTCCCTTGCTGCATTGGAAATACAGCTAAGACTGTATTGCAGGTGTTCTTATTGAACCAAGTGCTACTGAAGATGTTGGCTTTTAGCCATTTGGAGGTTTACTTTCCCTTTTGTGAATCTAATGAACCTTCTTTTTTTTTTTAATATTTTATTTTACTTTTAAGCAAGGAGGAAGGGAGGGAGACAGAAAGGGAGGGAAACATCAATGTGTAGTTGCCTCTCGTGCACCCCCTACTGGGGACCCCTTTGGTTTGCAGGCAGGCACTCAATCTATTGAGCAGTACCAGCCAGGGCTAATAAACCTTCTATCCAGGAAAAAAAATTTAGATATAATTTCCAGGGATTTAGGGATTCTCTGAATAATCAAGAACCCTGTGTGATTTAAAGTTACATAATGAGTGACTACGCTTCAGGGTTTTTTTTGTTTGTTTTTGGTGTGTTTGTTTTTACCGTGGGCCATAATGGTACTTGATAATATTGTCTATAACGCTTCTAACATCTCTAAGTTCAGAAAAATCCTTCCTTTGCTGATATGAAAACTAAGCTCAGAGAAGTTGAGTATCTAGCTTAAGATTATATAGATAGTATTAACTGAAACACATTTGAACCTCAGTGTTCTTGACCTCTCCACCCCTCAAATCCATGGTCTTTCACTTTATCATTCTATTTGGAGATCATTTATTTCAATCTTATGTACCAGTAAGTAAACTACAATTCATAGTTTGTTTCCCTTTTGCTGTAGGTCTGTCAGTCTTGGAAATCTGCCTTATAATAGCAATGAAACATTTAAATGACATCTACGAAGAGGAGCCCTTTAATTTTCAAATGGTCTATAATGGTGAGATGAGACTTTGGTAGTTTCTTTCTGACTCTACCCTACCCACCTGCTTATTTGAAGGTACTGACATTGTCATTGCTTTTTGTCCAGAGTTTCAGAAGTTTGTTCAAAGGAAGGCCCATTCTGTGTATAATTTTGAGAAACCTGTTGTCATGAAGGTAAGATACGCTGTTATTTTGTGCAGGCAGGTATATTTTTGTATCCAATTTTATTGCCCAGTTGCCCTTGAACATACACAGCTGTTTGAACTTTGAGGGTCCACTTATATATAGATTTTCTTTCAATAAGTACTATAAATGTATTTCTCTTCCTTCTGATTTCCTTAAAATTTTCTTTATTCTGGCTTACTTTATTGTAATAATATAGTACATAATACATACAATACACAAAATGTTTGCCAATCAACTATTAGTAGTAGTAAGTTTTAGATGAGTCGGAAGTTATGTAGTGATTTTTGACTGGGAGTAGGGGGTTATTGGTGCTCCTAACCTCAGTATCGTTCAAGGGTCAATATTACAGTTGCACTTTCATTAATTTTGGAAAATGTTTGAATAATTTTGAAGCAAGCAGCCAGGTGTTTTAGTTTGTGGGGGTTTACTGCCCTCTACTGTCTGTTCCTAACACTTGCATCCTGTAAAGTAACTTCAACAGTCTGTGAAATACATTGCTGTAAGCCTAGGCCCTTCACAACCCAAGGTGGCTCTATAAATTTAGCAGTAAAAAGAGACAAAAAATGCTGATATGAACCATTAAGAAACCAACAGACAAACTCCCACTGGCTGGTGAAGGTTTTATTAGGGGTTAGGTGAGGCATGAGTTTTAAAACTTGAGGAATGTTATTCCAGTGTACCATTGTCCATTAGAAATGAAACATGAACCACATCACGTAAGTTCAGATTTTCTAATAGCAACAAAAAAGGGGGGGGAAAGGTGAAATTACCTTTAGTAATAAATTTTATTTAACCTAATATAAGAAAAACAGTTTAATCTATAATCAGTATTATATTACTAGTGAAGTGTTTTCCTTTATTTTCTTTTGTGTTAAGTCTTTGAAATTCTATGTGTTTATGCCTATTTAATTCACTAAGTATCCACTGGAAATATGTGCTCTTTAGATTCCATAAAATTTTCAGCTATAGATGTAGATTTACATTCTGAAAGTGTTCTAAACATACTTAACATTTTGGCTCAACTATCAGTTTTGAAATTAAACTTAGTGAAAATTAAATAAAATTTTAAAAGAGTTCCACATTTCAAATCATCATGGTGGTCGGTTACCTTTTTGGACAGCACACAGCGCTGGAGGGCTTCATGAGGAGAAACATGTTTTTCAAAGCAGTGGACTCATATATAGCCATTAGCATCCCTTATAGACTGCAGTGGTCAGAGTTTTATTTCTTATAGTAACCAAAAAATGCTGAGGTGTTGCTGTTTCCTCACAGCACAGGAAAAGGGTTCAGCACCCTACTGGGTGGTTCTCTCCCCCTTCCTAATGTCCACGTCTGTCTGGTAGGTGCAGTGTGTGGGAGTTGTACAAATATAAAGGGTTATCTGAACATTTAGATTCTGATGAGTTTCTACATTTTTAAATAAAGAAGTATTTTTGCTGCCTAGAAATATTTTAAATCTCCTTATGTTTTGGGTCCAAGCCTCTTGTATTTTTATATTTTCTCATTTTCAGAAATGGTGTTTGGGCTATTTCTCTTTAAATCAGAAGAATTTTTAACATACATAAAGAATATATTCTAATATTTTTCACAATAAAGCTGTAGGAATAGAAAGCTCAGTTTGTGTCAGTATTTACTGGTTAGTATGGCATGATTTAATGGCATTTTTTCTCATATTCTAATAAAATACCTAAAACAGTAATCAAGGTTAGAAACGGCGTAATACATGAGGTAAGAGGAAGTAAACAGAGAAGAGCCTGTTAAGATGGGGAAGATGGAAGGACAACTTCCTGACAGGCTGTGACAGTCCCCGTCTGACTTCTTAGGGAAACAGGGACCTGCCCCTTCTCCTTCATTCTGGTAGCAGTCTGCTGAGTCATTTATTTATTATTTGTAGGTAGGATCAGCTGAACAGACTTGGTGCACTCTTAGGGGTCCTTTCTCCTCCCTCATTTTTTGCAGCTGTATTAAAGTTACACAGCCAAGTCTTAGAAATCTAACAAAATATTAGTGTGAATGTGAGTTAACCAAGAATAACTCAAATAGTACTGGTCTTATCAGATCTTAGGTTTTTTATAGAGAACAGGAAACCCCTAACTTCAGCACAAGGAGGAAATATGATACAGAATGAGATTAGGGGGGAAATCACATTGTGCAGGCTGGATTAAAATTTCCTCTGTTCACATGCAGCAGTGCACGGTGAGATAACTATTGAAACTGCTTCATCTGAAACATTAGTTTTTATGAAGTTGATGGAGAGTTGTTTTTGAACCTTACTGATTTCTGTTAAGGCTGTTTTGTTTTATTTTGGCATTCTGTTACTCAACTGACTAAAACCGTTAACAGTCCCCTGGGTTAACATTGTTCCTTTACTTCCCCTACTGAACCTAAACTATTTCTTTCATCTTTCAGGCTTTTGAACACTTACAACAATTAGAATTAATAAGGCCCATGGAAAGAACGTCAGTAAATGCACAGAGAGAGTACCAGCTGATGAAACTACTTTTGGATAACACTCAGATTATGAATGCTTTGCAGAAATATCCCAACTGTCCCACAGACGTTAGGCAGTGGGCAACGTCCTCGCTAAGCTGGTTGTGAATATGACCACTGGCCTCAGTTATGGAGTTCCAGGCAAGCTTCTCTAAAGAACTAGAAGCTATTGTCCTTTAATGACATATGTCATGGCATTTTCTTATATTTATAGACAATTACTTTTGTATTTATGGGGGAGTGTTACACATGTAGTATATTCTTAAAGGCAAGTCTGTGCCATGCCTTTAAATTGTGAGCAGTTACATGCTTTATAATCCCAGTAATTTAGACTGTGTTGTAAGAAGTTCAAAAAAATAAATGTGACTATTTTATAGGAATTAACCATATACTTATTAACAGTTGTGAAGCATTTGTGTATTACATTTGAAATGTTCATCTGGCCCAGCAGTTTTTATAAACTTTAAACAAAGCAGTAAAGAAACAAAGGTAGGAGTTGAGATGTAAGAAGTAATCTTTAGGCACAGTGGGAAGTGCTGTATTTTTTTCCTGTACCCTGCAAGGAATTTTGGATTCCATGCCAGACCCAGGTCTTCTAGTTCAGAAAACTGGCCAGTTTGGCTAAAGATGGTTTACATGGAAGAAAAGATGAAAAGTTTGGACATTTTTTCCCAGACTTCTCAAAATGTGGCACTTGTACTATCTACAGAAGAATCCCTTGACAGACTTTTAAAAAATGCAGATTCTTGGGCATATTCTATCCAAAAGCATCAGAATTTGTCCATTTTTTTAACAGGTACTTTAGGAAATTCCTGGAAAACCACTCCCACAAATGAGGGGAAATGTTTGTCAGTGTTAACTTAAACAATTTATATCTAAAAGTAGATCCCTAAGAGAAATGTGGAAACAGCCAAAGGATCAGCTTATAAATTCAGGAATCTGTAAACTAATACAGCTATATGTTTAAAGTGAAACTTAGTATAAGCATTCGTTAAGTGTCAGTGACTTCATTTATTCGTTTGATCACCTATTGTTTTCATGGGAGATTTACAGAAGGCAGTGTCCCCAATGTCATTCAGTTTATTGTAGTCATACCTCAGTACTCGTGGGCTTCAGAACTGATCGAATCTTGTACTCACATTTTGATGAGAGAAAAAATGTTTCAGCATTCGGCGCTTGCTCAGGACTCATCGCACTTGCTAGAGCTTGTATGAGTCACAGCACCACCCCACAAGAGAAGATGCTTCATCACTCATCACTTGAAAAATTTCGTTCGGTGCTGGTTGGTTTCAGCACGTCACAAGTTCTGGAACAAATGACGACGAGTACCAGGGTATCACTTGTACTGGTGACTGTCAAAGGCCATTATGATTTTCATACTGTTGTTTACAGATGGGACGACTAACATAGTAGGGAAGTGTCCGGAATCACACAGGCAGAAAATGAGAGAGCATGGTTCAAATCAGGTTTGTGTGACACCAAAGCCCCACTACTAAGACTTGAAGTTCAGTAATGGTGCCTTATGTTTAAAGAATGCTCCAAGAAATTTATCTGGTTTTTAAGGAGTCTTAGGTGTGGAATAGAAGTCACTGTGCATAAAAGTAGCTCTTCAGTACACAACCTATTGTTTTGAATGAATCGCCGCTCCCTGCCCTGAGTCTTCAGATCACTGTCATTTGCTTTCTGCAGTCTCATTAAATCTAAGGCTTGTGTACTTGTTCTATGCAATACTCAAAAGATTTCTAGGAAGTATTCTGCCAAAATATTTAACATGGTAGTATCACTATTAGTAGAAGCAAGGATTTTACTCTTGAGCTAAAGTGTCCCTTGACTGTAGAAGTACCTAAAGAACTGACTTGAGGATTACAAATTTTTGTTAGGTGAAGATGCCACTAAAAGGCTGGGAGCCTTCATCTGCCTCCGTAGTATATAGGAGCTATGTCCAGATCCATCATTATCCAGATATACAGATTAAAAAACTAAGTAGCAAGGTGGGTTTTCACATTCAGTGAAACAGAAAGCAAATTAGAAAAAGAAATAAGTTAGCAAAAATTGTACAGATAAGTGTATGTCTACATTCCAAAGTCATTTTTTGAGGAGAGGAAATATATCAGCTTTCCTCTTTGCATACTCCCTAATACAAAGAGGTTAAGGTGTACTTAGAAAACTTTCAGACTACATCTATTAAATTCTTAAACTATCATTAACAAAATAAAAACTGAATCTGAAAAGCCCTAGTAAAAAAACTTTAGAGAATAATGTAAATAAACATTGTTGAAAGGTATTTCCTTCATTTACGAGAGGAGGAATGTAGCCTTTGAACAGCATGATCAAAAACCAGTGGGAGTATCTGAGGCACTGTGTTCTGGTGTGTCCTCAGTTTGGGTCAGAAGAGCCAGGTGGGACAACAGTGTTATAGAATTCAGCGGAATTTTTACTCATGTGATCCCCCAGGTGCCCTACCCAAAAACAGGAATTTATTTAAAAAAAAAAAACAAAACACCTTAAACTTTCTAATTCCTGTGCACATGCATGTGCACAATTCTGAGGAATAAACCTATTTTCCAGACTGACTGCACCATAACACTATATGTTGAGTGTATACCGTATTAACTTCCTGAAGAATCTGTTTTACAGACTGGAAAAGGATTCCAGTCTTTCTGTGGATTCCATGCAGATTCCACCATAGTTTATATTTTCATCTGATTGAGAAGACAATGCAAATTATTTCAAGTCACCATAACCTAACTGTTGTCCCTTCCTTCACCTTTACCCTAAAAAAGTTAAGAATCCATTGGTGTGAACAGTGACACTCCAGGTGACAATGCAGGGCGTTTCCACTCCTTTCTTCAAAAGCTACCATATAAACAAAACCTCTGTAACATTAAAAATGTGAATGGAAGCTAGCTTTCTCTTATTGTTACCCTACATGAAAATACCAGAATTTTTCCATCTAATTGGTAAACGGGTTGCAAATTGGTAATCCAGTTTATATCTTTGATGATTAGTTCCTAAGCCACATGCTTCCTATTTTGACGTGAAAAGACAACTGATGCTGTGTAGCCTCTGGCTCCCTAAAACTGGCAGGACAAATGTAAATACTTTAGTGACAACCTGCTTAGACAACATAGGAAAATGTCACAACTGACAAGTCTCCCTTTTCACCATTATCCCCGCTGCAAATCTCAAGGTACAAGCCTCACTGCAAATCACAAAGTTACTATTCCCCTTAAAGAACAGATAGCTAAAGAAAAAACTGCATATGCAAATCATACCATATTCATTTTTTTTTATTTAACTTGGGGATGGAATGGGGGTAGCATACATTTTATTTGTACAATATTTAACAATCACTTATCCAAGGTGGGGTTTTATGGGGCTTATTTTTTTTTTTTAGCTTTTTGTTAAATACTTGCAGAAAAAATAGCAAGTACAATTTGACAGTAGTACAACAACCTGTGTCCAAAACACTGACAAAAAATACAGAGTAAAGCTAAAATAATTGCTTTCCAATATTTTGAGAGGTAACAAATAGTATATGGGTTGAGACTGCATAAAAAATGTACTGCTGGTTGGATATCTGAGGTAAATGATGTTCAATCAAGATGCTACTTGTATCATTTTGCCCATATTATCAATAAGTAATTTTATGCACATTATACCAAATGTTCCTAAAAAGTAACTTAGAAAGGTAAAAAAGAGAAACTGGAAAATATCTGTGGTGAAGCAGTTGTTTTAAACAGTAATTAGTTTATTCCACCAAACTACAATTTCACCTGGCCAGGGTTTTCTCCCCTACCGCCTGCATTTTACCTGTGGGGTAAGGGTGAGGAAAGGGGAAAGAGATTCTTTTTTAATTTAATGATAGATGATTCTACTTTAAATTCCAAATTTGGTGGTGTTTCCTGATTGTATTTTCAAAAACATCACCATGGAAAAAAAATAGTTCATGGGACCAACAATTGTGAGGCACAGTCTCTGTTCTAGAATTCACAAGGTACCTGTAATAAACATTCAAACAAGAATCACACATCACATGCTAAAAACTTCCTAGCATCTGAAATACACACAAGAGTTGTCAGGGCATAGACTTCGAGTAAAGCCAAACACTGGTTAATCCGTCATTAGTCCTATGGCAGTTGATCATAAAGCATTCCTTAGACGGAGATCTGGGCAAGGTAAAGTGTGAGAGCAGCAGTTCCAACAGGTATCAGAAAGGCAAAATACAAGACGAATCATAAGAAGCACCATACACATGAGGAAAAAATTATTGGGGTTTCAGTTCACCCCAAAACAAAGTCATATTTTTCTCATTCTTTGATCTTTCTTTTTTTTTTTAGTATTCCTAGCTCAAACTTTTGTTAACTTGCCCACTCTGCACCTACTGTAAACAAACATAAAAATGCCCTGCAAAAGAAAGTTTTAACAAGACTGGGTATCAGGACAGGTAGTCACTGGAACATTCTTATTTAACTTCTTAAGAAAAGTGTTTTTCTATTAATATAGTTCTCAGAGGGATACAAGTTTTAAAATTTGTTACTTAAAGTACAATACCCAGATTTCTGAACATTTTTTTCTAACATGGAGAAAAATTTATCTTGTGAATAACTGGTCTTATAAAATTTATCTCTAGTGCTCACGGAAGCCAAATAGCCGTAATATTCCTTTTGTTTGGATTGGATTTTTTAACCTTTTAAAATGAAGATTAAATGTTTAAAATAGGTATAAATGTCTTCAGATGATAATTTCTGTGAACTATTCTCATTATTTTACTTTCTTGATTAGTTTCAAAGTGGAAGCAAAATAAAATCAAGAAATTGAGAGGCAAAGTACTTTTTGAAATAAAGAAGTGAACTCAACATTGAAATGGAAATTCTTAAAAGTAACAGGACAACTTGGGCATCTGATGTGACAGGAGAATGTTCTGCATGGTGTGTGGTGCACAGACAGCGATGCTCTTACTCTTCTTTCCCTTCCTGCTTAGAGTCTGGTGACCAATGTAGTGCTTATTAGTAATATAACTTATTTTTCCCAGAGAGTGTGTATTATATGTAAAACGTAGTGTGTGGTTAAATAGCCATTTGATAACACTCACAGTGAGCTCTTGATAGTGACATGTAAGAAATTATTTTATAAGATCTATGTATGGATTTTAAAATGACCTGACAAAAAGTACATAGCATAATACTGGCTATTTGTTGGTGAATAATCTAAAATTTCAGGAAATTGTTGTTTTACTTTGGCCTGTATAAATTTGAGAAAATCCAATTACATTTTGACATTATGTTGTTTTGAAAAGCACTTCAGCGCCTACCAACAATTTCATTTTCTTATTAAGGATAAGGCATGAACTACCTTAAAATAATATTAGAGTTAGTTGTGAAAGCAATTTGCAGGAGGAGACTAGGCTGTGTTACCTAAATCAGCATTGGTTACCTCTAAATGTCATTGCATATTTTAAGTTGTAAGTTTAACTTGTTATCCCTGATTTGTTTTAAAGCAGTAACATCTGAAATCTGTGCTTAAAATTTACAGTCTCTGTCCTAGGATAATTCTTTACATTTCACAGACATCAAATATTACTCTGACAAGATGGCACCAAGCAGAAATATGGTGATAAAGTTACAAGTCTCAAAGCAGAGAGTGAGGAATTCTGGGTAATGACACTTCCTGAGGTGATCCTAAAACAGTGATAAAGAATATCCCACACACTGATGAAAAAACAAAAACACAATTTTACATATATAAATAGGAAAAAAATCTATTTTAAAAGAATAAAAATGAAGAGCTTTCCAGTGTCACAGCTCACTTAAAAAATTTAAATCATGCTTTAAATTTTCAAATTTCCCCAAACACAGCACACCTAAAAAGATACTTAGGTAAGTATGCAATATTTTGGGAACTAGATATAAGATGAAGCTTTAAAACACGGGAAGAAGTGGAAATGACATTTTTTCATTTCAAAACAACAGCACTGTTTTTCCCCTTAAATTACAAGCTAGCACAAGAAAAGCTAAAACACTGCTTTACGAATGGCCATTTACTGTTGGCACTAAGCATAGCTTACCTTTTTTTCTTAAATAACACAGTGAATTTGTAATACCTTGTTACAAAACATGGATCGATTTATTCAAATTTTGTTAGTGTTTTCAATGATATAATTTAGCAACCGTGGAACTGAGGTATACCTTGTTGAGGGAGGTTAAAGTAATGCTTGGAAGCCTCTTTCCTGTGCCCCACTTTGATGACTTTGTTTATGTACACAGAACAGCAGCACACTACACATTCACAAGCTGTGTCATATTGGCATTACAATAGTCATTTATAGAAACACAACAGCAAATGCAGTAAAAACAAGTTACCCTTTTAAAAATCTGAAATGAAAAGTTTTTGATTAAAAAAAAATAGCAGTAGTTCATTTAAGGAATTAGTGTCTTCTGACAGACATTAAGAAATCTGAAGTCAGTTTTCAAACACTTGATTAGCCAGGTCCAAAAGATTCTTGATTTGGAGAGGGCCACATTCTTCATGTACACTTTTTCAAAAGTTTATAGAATTTGCAACGTTTCTTAGTCTCACATCCTTCACATCTCTGCTACAGGCAATGCTGTAAGTCTCCCAGAGCCACAGTTTTGAACTGAAAGAGGGTCTTCTTTTCGACATATCCAGGAGACATCCTACTCATTTCACACAAAATAAACTGAGCAGTTTCATTAGCTTAGCAGCTCCAGTTCAGAGTCCTGTTTCTCAACGTGTACACATGGTGCAACCATCATAGACTAGATTCTTTGGGAGGAAAGTCAACATTTGTCACCATTGTGACCACTGTTACAATGTCCTCTGTGGTAATGATATTTGTTAGTCTTTGCATCTGAGTAATTCTTTCACCTACACATCCTGCTGATAGCCTGGCTTCCGCATCATGATCCCAACATTCTTCTATTGTTTCACAGAGCATCGCCATTCCCTGAAAATGAAAAACATCTTCAAATACCACAGCAATTTTTGTTTTCTATTATGAAATAGAATAAAACTTCCATAAAGGAATTGGTTGTTTTTGTGGGTTAAAAAAAGTATCAAGAATATCAAAGTCTTGTATTTTTTTTATCAATGTTCACTTTTGAGTATTTTTTACAGGAAAGTTAAGAAAAGCACTAAAATTTTTTAGCACTGGAGACTATCACAATAGTTGATTAACTTTTATTTCCAAAAATCTCTATACATTGCTCATAAACCAAGACATTTCTGAGCAAACCCCCAAAATGGATTCAAAATAAGGCTGAGGTCCAATTTTTATTGTTTTCTTAGTTACTGATCAGCATTTCTCTCTTGTAGTTAAATAGAAAAGTTAGAGGGCTATCCTTAAGAATTCTCTACCTAGTTTTATCCATGTTCCTAGTTATACCTAGAGCAAAATAACCAGGGCAATACTGTTCTATCCTTTGCCTACCTAGTCTCTAGTTTTAGAGCATCCTTAAGAACTTGAAAATCTTCCAACCCCAAATCAAAAGACTGAAACAAATTCCCATGGAGAGGGAAAAACTAAGTGTTTCACTTTTTAAAACAGCATCATGTAGGAAGGTGGTGATCAGCAAGGTTACCTGACCATCCACAGGCTCCAAGCCAGGAACTCCTTTTCCTGGGAAGCTTTCCCAACAGGAGACAAACTCATCCACACAGGACCAGGGATGCGAGTCCTGTAAGCCTCTGACTTCACCATCTCGTGAGTGTTACACAAACACAGCCCTGGTTCTGTTTCTAGAACAGAATATCCTGTACAAAGATCACCTCCCCAGAAAATCATTCCAGAAGACAAATGTACAGAGGTATAAGTGAGTCCTCCAAAAAGCATTTTATTCACATTTCAAGTGAAGCAAAGTTCATGACTTACAGCATGTTTCTGCCAATAATCTCTTAAAACAGGCCTCTTTTTTTTATGAACAACAACCTCCTGCATGTCTTCAAGAGATGGATGCTGACCAATTTCCTCCTCAAATGGCAACATGTACTCATCTACAGGTCCTAAAATGTAAAAAAAAAAAAAAAAAAAAAAAATCGTGTTAATTCATATCTTCCTGACTTCCAAAGTGGAACAAACTTTAAAACACTATCACCTTTTCCCAACTGTTACGTGCTGTAATGACAGGAGAGCAGCAGACTCAACTGGACTTACACCAGTGTGACCCAAACTAATTTAAAAAAAATCAAAAAGTCAGATTTGGCGTATAACTCTCTTAAGAATTGTGTAAGGAGCTCTCTTGTCTACTGTATGAGGAAGGGCTGTCTCCATTTGTATACAGGACATATGGAACCACTGGTATTTGCAAGTGGATGTAGTATCCCTTTAAGGTACCCACCATTCTTTGAATTCAGATCAGACTGTAAATAGTGGTGTTGCCATCTCTGAAGAATTTGGGTTCAATCTGCTGTAACCATATTTATTCTATGAAAAATGCTCAAATTCCCAATGTGCATGCTCCACATGAGCAATTATATACTTCAAAGTCATACTACTTATCAGCTCTCAGAAGAGCTGACAAAAATACATTTAGTTGTTTTAAATCATACTCCCCAGGGTTCCCAACAAGTCAGAACATGCCTTCACAGACAAGCAAGATTTATTCAACATTAATGGTTCCTTTTTTCTAAGACCCACTCAAATAGGAAAATGCAGCTAGGAATGTGTTTACATCTGTTGAGCATTTCTCCTGACCAGAAACTTCACGTATTATTTACTTCCCTTGTCTTCACAGATTGAAGGTGGTATGACATCTATTTTACAAATATAAGTCCCATAATTTGCACAAGGGCATAGAGCTAAGTGGTAGAGTTGGAATCTGAATCCATGTGAAGGACAAATCTGTGCTTTCCACTGTACTATGTCCCCTTGACAGAAACCTGTCACTGATCACCAATGTCAGTGTCCAGATGTGTCTCAATGTAAACATAAACCTCGTACAAGCTGTTTTCATGTAATTCTGGATAGAATATGAGTTACAACAACCCTGAAGGAGACCCTGTAACTCCACACTCTCCAAATGTTAAGAACCCTGGATGCCGGGAGAGGGCTCTACTGAAGCACTTCCAGTGACAGAGGACTGACTTGCTAGGGCACCTTTCACACCCTGGCTACTTACTCAAAGCCTCTCCGCAGGGCAGGAGCACAGGCACTGACCCCGTAGTGCTTTAAGGTGTCACTGCCAGGCCTCGACCCAGACATACTAGTCAGAATCTGAATTAAGATTCCCAGGGCTTTGGTGTGCATTCCAGTTTGAGAATCACTGAACTGAATCAACAATTAGGTATCAAGAAATTTTAAAGTACTCACTTTAGCAACATTCACACTGTCTCTGCCCCAGCCTCTAAGAGTTAGAAATGCCTAATCTGCAATGAAGTACTTCACAGCACGTGCCAGGCAGCTGGGAAATGTCAGCATCCATCCTTTTCCCTAAGAACTCCCCTGATAAACTCTCCTCCCCAATAACAAAGCCATTTCTCACTTTACACTCCCATAACATTTCCTTAGATTTATTTCTCAGGTATTACATTTATACAGAAATATTTACTGAATACCTATGTACCAAGCACTGGGCTGGACAATCCACACTTACCTCACTCAGGAGTTAAACAGCCCAGGAAAAAAACTGATCACCTTAATGAAACAGTACATTACTGAATGGCAGAACCCTGTGTATACTCCGTAAGATCATACCCAATCGTTTGTTTTGGAGAGTTCACATTAACGAAGTTCTTATGAAATACATGTTACGATGCCTGCCATTTCATCTCCTCCTGCTTCCATAAAAGCCCATAATAAATGT